ATCTCTGATATCTTACCTTTCCAAATGATCCCTTGCCTAAGACTTTCAAGAAAGTGAAGTCTGACTCCTTGACGAGTTGGCTTTGTGCCGAAGCACTCAGCCGTGATATATCCGAACTCGGTCTACTTAGAGTGCCGTGCACCTCCATTTTTCGACGTATTTTCTCCATTTCTTCTTCGTACTCTGGCGGAATGTTTATGTTGTAGTATTCGCCTTCTTCCTGGAAGTATGGAAAAAGGAGTGATACGATCATCTAGTAAAATAAAATGTTGGAGTTCCAGCTTGTTTTAGAAGAATTCGGTGGAAAATGCTCTGGATCCAATGTGCCAATGCTTGTGGCAGAATTTTTTCATCAATTTTCAAATTGATCAAATTACCTTGGCAAATGTCTCATATTTTGGATAGTAGAAAGAAAGATCTAGTGAATTCAGGTTATCCAAAGAAAATACTGAATATTTACCGCATTGAGCAGTTTGAACCAGCCAGATGCTGGCTCAAGAAGAAGTTCAGAAATTCCAAACGATAAGCTTCCCATAAAGTCATTCCTCGAAGTTCTATCCCAATCCCATACTTCGACAGATAATCGCCTGTCCTTATCGCCAGGTTGAAGTTTACTAAAAAGATGAAGTAGAAAAACTTCTGCGGCTTACTGGGGAGACGATCGATCACTATGATCTACATGACCTACGTAGTCTTAGGTTACTGTAGCAAATGACTTACTAGGTGAATTTCTCGTTCCACTGCGGGTTCAGTGTGGCCCGTAGCGTTTTAGTTTTTTGCTTCGATTTACAGCCACCATCTTCAGGAATTAATTTGAGTTTCACATAAGGGTCGGATAAACCATTTGGATCCATCGGAATAAGATTACGAGCCTCTTTTACTAAAGCAGAATTCTGAATAATTTTGCCGTTTGCCAAGACTATTTTTGGATTTTACCGTGGATTCTAAGAATTTCTCCTTCTACGCTGACATCAAGCAGTATTCGACCCCGTTTTTCGGTGTGGTCCGTTCCACACATATTTGGCACATAACGTACACAGCGATGATGTGCATTTGTACCACAAATATTACATTTCATTCCCTAAACACCACAATTTCACAAGTCCAGATTTTGGAGCGCGAATATGATTTAACCTGATGAATAATTCCATAAAGTAAAGACCCGCAATGATCGCAAAAAGTAGGCGAGGAATATGTTTGCACTTTCCACTTGTGCTGTTGCCGCGGGTCCTGAAACGTAGAGTACTGTAGATTACGTAAAATCATTTGGATTAGACGTTTGATACAGTGGTACGC